CCATAAGCCCCACCCCACCCGCCATATGAACAGACGACATATCGACAGACAGACGAAAAAGACAGACAGACAGACAGACGCCCATCCCATGAAGCTACTAGCTAGCTGCAGGCCACCCAGTCAGTCAGTCACCCGTCAGATACGAACAAGGAGCCATCCGGCGTATCCTAATTGCGCGCTGTCTATCATCCCGCAGCGCCCCTCCTGTCAGAACCAATCCGGATTCACACACTGCATCACACACAAGCAGACGATGAGTCAGTGGCAGAGATGCTCCTCAAATGGCCTGAACAAATGGCCTGCCTCCCCTACCAGGAGGTCCCCGGTGCATCCGATGCACAGCGCACAGTTGACCGAGAGGATTGAGAAGGCGCTGTTCACGCTCAGCAGCGAGAAGAGCGAGTTGATGCTCAACGCCCCGATAATGCCTGGCAGGCACACAGACAGACACACAGACAGACACACACACACACAGAGAGAGAGAGAGAGAGGTGTGAATGAAAGTTAGGCTCTCTCCATTGGGCTCTCCCTCTTGCTGGCAGTGCGGTGGGCACTCACAGTTGATTGCGAGAAGCGCCAGAGCTCCGTTGATGACGAGAAGGCACATCGCAGCGTTTATCGACGCAATGGAGAATGCGGCATTCCTGCTGTAATGGCTCTTGTAGGTGTTGACGCCCCAGAAGCCGCTCTGCGAACCGCCCATCTTCCCTCTCTCGAAAATCCTTCTCTCCCGCAGCCACGGAGTCATGTGAGCCGGTCGTCATGGGTTCGAGCCCTCCATCGGACCCATTGCGCAAGTTTCTGCAGGGGAGTCTAGACTAGCTACCCTAAGGATCTCACTGGACTGAAACGGATCTCACTGGACGCGCCGCGAGGACCAGCCGAGGAGTGGCACTAGAATGCGTAGGGTAGCTGCCGTGAAATCGAATCGTGTAAAAGCTGAGGACACAGAGGCGTGCGATCGGTCGATCGGAGTGTGATCGTGCGTGGCCAGTGTACATGAATCGGACTCGCAAAGATTTGGGAGGCGGGGCATCCCCAGGGC